TTTTTTTTTTTTTTTTTTGGTCTTTTTCGAGACAGGGATTCTCTGTGTAGCTTTGCGCCTTCCCTGGATTTCACTCTGTAGACCAGGCTGGCCTCGAACTCACAAAGATCCACATGGCTCTGCCTCCCGAGTGCTGGGATTAAAGCCGTGCGCCACCACCGCCAGGCATCTCGGCAACTCTTATAAGGAAAACATTTAATTGGGGTAGCTCACTCAGTTTCAGAGATTCAGTCCATCATCATCATGGTGGAGAGCATGGTGATGTGCAAGCAGACATGTTGCTGCAGCTGTAGCTGAGAGTCCTACATCTTGCAGGCAACAGAAAGTTGACTGAGACGCTGGGTGTTATCCTGAGCATAGGAAACCTCAAAGCCCACCCCCACAGTGACACACTTCCCCCAACAAGGCCATACCCGCTCCAACAATGCCACGCCTCCTAATAGTGCCATTCCATTTGAGATTATGGGGTCTGATTACACTCAAACTACCACATTCCACCCCCTGGCCCCCATAAGCTTATAACACCATCATAATGCAAAATGCATTAGTCCAACTTCAAAAGTTCCCAAAGTCTATCACAGTCTTAACAATGTTTTAAAGTCCAAAGTTGAAAGTCTCTTCTGAGATTCATATAATCTCTTAACTGTAATCACCTGTAAAAATCAAAATAAAAAAGCAGAACCCAGGAGATACATTACCATTCCAAAACACAGGGAAGGGAGCATAGTCAGGAAATGCTGGACCAAAGCAAGACTGAAAACCAGCTGGGCAAACTGCAAACTCTATCTCCACGCCTGATGTCAAAACGCTCTTCAGGTCTTCAACTCTGTTCAGCTTTGTTGACTGCAACACACTTCTTTCTCTTGGGCTCATTCCATTCCCTGTTAGCGGCTCTTCTTGGCAGGTATCCCAAGATTCTGGCATCTCTAACACTTTGGGTTCTCCAGGGCAATCCAGGCTTCAACTTCACATCTTCACACAATGGCCTCTCTTTTAGGCCTCCATTCAGGAACACCCTTGACACATGCCTGGCCTCAGTGGCTTTCTTTAGGAGCAGAAGCAAATTCCACAACTTGTTTTTTCTATCCTTAACTCTCAAGCCAAAATTATGCAAAGCAGCTGTGCTTGTTCTATAGGACACAGGCTCTCTGAAAGTTTTGCCTGACTGAGGTGGAACATGTGAGTTGAGCTGGGCCAAGCAGATCTGTGTCCGAGGACTGTCAATGTTTGGAAGTGTTTGAAATTGAGATTGATTGGCAAAGCACCTTCTGATCTCTTCCACAGAAGTAAGGATGAAAATAAGATGAAGAGGTGGAGGAAGAAGAGGAAAAGGGAGAGAAAAGAGGAGGAGGACACTGCTTATTTTCACTTCAGTTCTGGCTGAAGGTTGAAGAATTGCATCTGGTAATGGCCTTTTTGCAGAGTCTGAGACTGGGACAGATGTCACCTGGCAAGTGAGTGCATGGGAGACTTAACTAAATTAAGTTCATAGCAGACCCAGCCTTGAGATAACTCCCTAGCCTATAAACCCATGACTTCTGTAGTCATGAATACATCAATCCACTAGTAAGAGCACAGGCTTAACCATATCGTAATGGTATCACAATGTGTCAATGTGGATCGATTTCAGTGGAGTCTTGGAGAAGGCAAACCACATTGAGACTGTATGCTGTCACTTTCTCTCAGCTTACCTGAGTTGGCTTTGGTACTTGAAACTAAATGAAATATATTTGAGAAAGGGTGGTAAGTGGAGACAACATTTAACAGCAACATAAAGGAATTATTTTCTGGAATAACAGTACCCTCTTCTCGGCACACATCCACATCCTATTCCTTACTCAAGACCTTGTAACTACTATTGTCTCTGTCTCTGTCCTGGTTAGTGATTCAGGACATTAAAAAAAAATTCTGATTTTCATTACAAAGGGATTTTTCAACCATGGCAGCCCATCATTTTTTGAGCAGAGGAGGAGGATTCTTCCAGAATGCTTCCTAGAGACAGCAGGACAAAGAGCATGGCCTCTGATGCAGTCATTAGCTGTCTGGCTGACTTCCTCATCTCCTTTCTGTGCACAAGTCACTCTCGATACAGTTTTGTTACTGCTCCCTGCTTTGGCCTGAGTTGCGGTCTGAGCAGACAGACTCTCAATGCATTCCTGTTAGAGCTCGGATGTTACCTGTAGACTCATGGTTTTGAATGCGTGGTGGCCAGCTGGTGGCACTGTTTCAGTAGTTTGTGGCACCTTTGGGAGGGCCTCCTAGGAGGAAGTGTGTCTTGAGGTGATAGCCTGGCCCACTTCCGGTCTATTCTCTGCTTTCCATCTACTGAGATGGAGAGTCTTATTGCAAGCTCCTGCCACCACTGACTGAGAAACCTCAGCTAAAGTAATAATGGGGATGATGCTATTTATAGTAACAGCATCATCACTTATTGAATACTTACTGTCTACCAAGTATGGGATGGGCTCTTCATGATGAATGAACATACTTACAAAGCCAAGAAGGCATGTAGTATTTACTATTTTTCCTTAAAGATGAGGTAATCAGATCACAGGCAGGGCAATGAACTTGTCCCAGACGTGTATTAGAAAGCAGTGGAGAAGGAATCTATACCTTTGATGGGCACATTCGGGCTGAAGCTTTCGTGAGGAGAGTGTGGGGCTTCAGCCAGGTGATGATGGGGGAACAGGAACAAAGGCATGCTGGGAAACAGTGGGGCTGGCAGATGAAGGGGAGTGTACGTACTGGGAAGGGTCTTTATGTAGCAGGACATGGAAAGCTGCAGTGTTTGGCCGGAACCAGGCTGGGGTGCAGTTCATTTACCTGCTGGGAACTTTATTTGGGCGTATAGTAACTGATTATAGTACTGTTAAGCACAGGCATGGCATGCTCAGACCCACATGATAGAAGAAGTGGGAGGGGGGATCCAGCCAGGAGGTGCTTGTGATCATGGCGTGATGCTTGGCCTCCATCCTGCAATGCTGCTCACTTCTTCAGTGGGGATGGATCTGGGCTGGCTGCTAAGTGAGCAAAGCTGCTCTCAAGGGATTACGTTTCTCAGCGACTGGCTGCTCTTCCTATAGATAAGCCACGTTTGCCAAGCAGCCCACAGACTGTCCCGATCTATAAATAAGCCGTCTGTGTCTCCATTTACCCCCGCCTCCTCTCTGCTTCAGGTGCAGCCTTTTCTAGAATGTAGACAGCCAGGGAGATGGCCAGAAGCCCCTGTGGGTGTGAGGGGCTGGGGGAAGCTCGGCTGCGGTAGAGATGGGTACTGATGTTTTTGGAGGGTGGTGGTGATGGGTTTCAGTGTTCAAGTTGGCCAGGATGTAGGAAGAGGAAGCTTGGATGGTGTGGGGAAACTGAGGTCCTGGGAATACTGACTCATTATTGCAAGGTCCCACTTTAGGCCCTTTGCTTAGCTATTTCTTTTGCTTAAACGTATTTATCCAGTGACTCACTCGGGCTCTCTGGATCCCTTTAAGAGTTTGCTTCAAACCTTTCCTTCCGCATGAGCCCGACTAAGTCGTAATTTATCAGTGCAAGCTGCTCCTGCTTACATCTCCCTCCCTGACCTGCTCCATAAGTCTTTGTTGGGGTTTTTAACCTGTGTTCATGTTCATGTGTGTGCCCATATGTAGGTGCATTTGCACATAGAATATGCGCACACACGCATGTGTGGTGTGTGTGTGTGTGTGTGTGTGTGTGTGTGTGTGTGTGTGTGTGGTCAATTTCAAGTGTCTTCCCCAGTTGCTTTCCAACCTTATTTTTTTGAGACACAGTCTCTCACTGATCCTAGCTTACTGATTCAGGTAGGCTGACTAGCCCGTGTGCCCCCCGCAATCCTCCTTTCTGCCTCCGCAGTGGTGGCATCACACTTGTGTTCTGCCATGCCCTGGCTTTTACCTGGGTGCTAGAGATCTGAGCTCAGGTTCCCATGCTTGCACACCAAGCACCTTACTGCCTGAGCCATCGTTCCAGGCCCTCAGTAAGTATTTAATGCGTGTCTTTCTGTCATCATAGAGGACTTTTAATGAAAAGTTTCAACTAGTTTCAGAGAAAACAGACCATTCAAAGGAATGTGTATATATGAAAAAAAAAAAA